GTCACTCCGAACAACCTAAAGTAAAATTGACAGTCGATCCGGAGATTTGAACGACCGGCTTACACTGAAGACACGATGAGTCCGATGAGCCAGGCCCCAAGAGTATTGTCGAGGGGATAAGGCTGGCTCGGGAAAGGACGATGGTGGACATGGGATCAAATGGCATTGCAGAGCTTCCAAACACCTCATTGCCTTTTGAATTGTCTACAATGATGAGACCGTCATGATTTGCACGCCTTCATTCCAGGATTCCGTTGAGTTATTTTCGAGATAATCAGGAACCGCAGATTGTCGCTCTTACATCAATAAAGGTGGTCCTCTGTTTCGATGTCTAAGTCTCCAAGAATCCCGCACTGCAAGTTGAAATCGAATAGGTCCTAAAGAGATTACTGTGGCCCCCTATCCCCGATGTCTTTAGTTAGAGGGTAACCAAACCTCTGGAGGGGTGATATGAGTTTGAGAAAGGTATAGCAACAAAATAGAAGCACCATGAATTCCGAGTCGCGATGTATGAGTTCAACACGCGAATGTGTTGGAGGTGAGTTTGCCTGCTGAAGCCGATTCATTCCACTACGGATCCGACATTCCGTCCAGCGGGAGACCAAGAATAACAATGAACTCCCTGCGGCATCAATCAAATCTTGTTGGCTCTTGAAACGGGGATGTGTCAACACGACACTCCCGCTCTCTGACTGTCCGGTTGGTTTCTGGTGAGTCGCGACATCTTGGCGAGTTCCGACACTCTGATGGGCTGATGGTAGACTAATTATAGACGCTTCTCGTACAGCAGGAGACGCTCGAAAGCATGAATTTGTTTAGGGAAAGGTTTCAACAGATTAAAGCGGAGCTGGAGGTCCAGGTAGGCGAAAGGGGTTTGAGGAATATCAAGTCATCCAATGCATGTACTGCACGAATTTACGCCTAAACCAGCCTACTCCCTGTATCTGTGCATGCAAATCGCACACAGCCCACCCGAGCCAGGGAGCTGAACATTAAATAAGTAGCTAATGGCTACCTAAATTCCACCGGCTAGCGCGAAAGTCTCATGAGCCCACTAAGCTGATCGGGGCGGGGCGGAATCGATGCCGCCTTTCTAAAATTTTACCGAGGTAGATCAAGTAATTGGTAAACTTTCGATTCTATCATAGAGAATGTTCTACATCCATGATCCCGGCTATGCGGGCTGACGGGGACTTCCGTTGTTATTCTATATTTTGTTACCGTTGCCGCACGTTCTATTCTCTTTCTTTCTGCCGTTCGTTCGTTCTGTGGCGGGCAGTGTGTTGAGTTGGTAATATAATCTCAAGGGCATTATGAGTAAATTCGGACTGTTAGTTGTGGCCACCCCGCAAATAAGTGGCGATTGGCGCGTGGGATGCATTGGCGGGCATATAATAATATCTGTGCAAATCTCTATCGCTGGGCGTAATATTTATATTTAGGGGACGGCGGAGGCGACGATGAGATGAACGAATCAGCGAATGCTTCACCGTAAAATTCGATCGCGCCCTAAGGAGTTGAATTGAACATTTTGAGGCCTCGAGAGGGAGCGCTCCCAGTTGATGGCGCATCACCCTCCGGTCCATCAGCCAATTGACGAATAAGTCGGAGGGAGATCTCTCCTCGCGCTCACCTGCATCCGACCATTGAATCCGAGGCGCCGAAACCCTCAACCACCTAGAGCTGACATGCAACAGCATGATCCGGATGCGTGCGATAACAGGCCAATGTGCGGGAAGGCGCATCAAAGGCGCATAGTCTGCATCATTTGGTGGCTTCTTTGATGGGATCTCAAAATACCCACGGTTCAAGTTGAATTTCCCATCACTTCAAGTTGCTTCTGTACTTCGGTATTTCAAGCTTCAGTGTTGAATTAACTCCGGGCTACATATGGAGTCCAGATACAATATTGAATGATGTCCGCCTTTCAGCCCCAGTCAACTCAGGACTAGTAGGTGGTGGATGGACGTCTTTGATGAACGGTTGCCCCGAGGACTTCAGACTCGGCAATATATTTTTATGGCGAGTAACCTAGATGGATTTTCACTACCGAGCGGCAGAATCGGTCCAGGGTACGCAGGGGCTTCGACATTCCGTCCCCGCGCGCTCCTCAGGAAGAAAACAAGAGTCGGAATACGAGGTGGGAGCCGAAGCGCAAGCACACCAGCTCTGAAATGTACCGCGCGCGCAGTCCAAAAAGAAAAAAAGACGAGAACGAGAGGGAGACAGAAGGCCAAAGAAAGACGGGAGAACGAGAAGGAGACAGACAAGCTCGCGTTCCCGAGCACACATGACGCCGACGCCGACCTTCGACGCCTCGACCCTCGACAAACGAAAGAGCCCCGCGGGATAATTCCGTGTTTCCCCACGTCGGTGCCCGACAAACACAAAAATCCATAACCCCCCCGCCCACCAAAAAGAAAAAAAAATGGTCACTCACGCGCTACTCTCGTCCGTACTCCCTGTGCTCCCACCGCTCATACTCCTCTCCCCAATACTCCTCGTGCCCCCACCTGTGCCCGCACCCCCATCCGCACTCACCCCCCGACTCAAGCCCATGTTGAGCGAGATACCCAGCCCGGGGCGGCCGCCTAAACCCGTCCCAAGCCCCGCCCCCGCCCCTCCGCCCGAGCGCGAGGACGTCGGAGACGGCGCGTGGGCGCCCGGTGCGCGTGCCGGCTTGTTCGTGCGCGTTTGTCCCGCCAGAGCCATAGCCAGAGCCGGAGCCGGGGAAGGGAAACGAAGGGGAAGACGAGACCGCATACCCCGCCTCCAGTGGGAACGCCCTCTGGCTGTGACTGTGGTGATCCAGGTCGGAGTGGTGGTCGAGCGGGTGCCCGCCGTACACCGCCGGCTCTTCGTCTTCTCCGTACCGGTGTTGCTCGTACCCGTGCTCATATCCGCGTTTGACACCCCGTTCGAGCGAGAAGGGCGGGAAGGGCGGGTCGAAGCTGCCGCGGCGCGAGCCTGAGTCGGAGGTGTCTGTGTAGGCTGAAGAGGGCAGGTAGTCGTCCGTGTACGCTGCCGCACGGTGGGCAGGGTAAGCGTACGCAGCAGAAGAAGAGTGGGTGTCCAACGATAACGACGGCGGCAGCGCGGGGAGGGAGAACCTCTTCGCGGCGCCGGTGGGGAGGAGGTGTGCGTTGAGCGGCGAGGTGTACCCATTGTGGTTGTGCCCGTTCCCGTTAATGCTGCCGTTGGTCGACGGAGGAAGCCCCAGCCCCAGCGGGACGCAGCTCGAGAGCGGCTCGAGCTTCACGCCCGTGCCCATCCCCATCCCTAGACCCATGCCCGTAGTCGCAAGCGTCGTATTCCGACGCCTTTTCTTCGCATTGGCGTTAGCGTTGGCGTTCACATTCACAGGCAGCGGATGCGGCAGCGCCAGCGACGCAGGCGACGCCTGCCCCCTTGACGAGTGCGAGGACGAGGCGGAGGACCCCGCGCGCGATTTGGTCTGTTTGTTGGGCCCGCGGACGCGTCCTGCTTGTACGTATTCGCAGGGCAGGCCGCGCGCGAGGCAGCGCGAGCAGGAAGGGTGTTCGCCTGAGCACTGTGGATCATAGGAGTGGAAAGTAAGACATGCGAAAGGAAGAGAGGAAAGAAACGACAAACCTTCGCCTTCCTGCTCCTACACTTCTCGCACGCCTGTGCAGTGCGCAGCCTAGGATGCTCTGGGGTGCGGTAGAAGATACCCGTCGCAGGATCGAGGCTGCCTCCAATAGTTATACGCGGTGCAAGTAGAGGGTCGTCGAGGGGGTGAGGGTCAAACGGCCAGCCTGTGCTGGGGGAGTGTATTCGTAGTCAAAGTCGGGGTACATCGAGTCCATTCTGTTCTGTGTGTTTTGTGTTTTGTTGTTGTGGGAGTAGCGAGACAAGTCAAAGTCTAAGAATTTGGTACGAAAATCGACTCTTTACTTGATGTCCAAATCGGGCGGCCGAGCAGCCTAATTGGTTATTTGGCGCTTGTTGATCCGTGGATGGAGATCAGTCTCGGTGTTCTACTCAGACAGCGGTCGGTGCCTTAGTTTTTAAGTTTTCCTTTATTCCTTTGAAGCTAGCCACCTAACGACCCAACCACGCCGCCAACGAACAATTCACCCAATCTCAGACCCGGCGACCCAACGCGTAATCAACTCACCGCGCCGTCCACTCTGAATCACCACCGAGCCGAGCAATGGCGCCTTCTCACTTCTGTGCCTTCCCTTCCAACTTCACCTTGCCTGATTCAAACTTTACATTCAATTATTCCTTCTATGTGACATGTTACTTACACTCGCGCACCAGCACGGCCGAGCTTAAAATTGCAAATCTGGTGCCATAATCCGAATTCCAAGCTAACTTTCGTCGTTCGAAAGCCTGAGATAAAGCCTGGCTCGCGGGAGGCCCCGGCGAAAGGGTAGGTCGCCGTGTTGCATACCGTACGTGGGTCCTCTCCGTTCTAAGTGCTAGAACTTGAAAATGAATTGATGAATACTTACAGAATGGGTGGAGCGAATGAATGAATGGCATACGTAGGTAAGTAGGTACATAAGCAGGTGAGACGGTGCCGATCGGTGCCCCAGATGTTGAATTAAATTCATATCCGTGCAAACGTAAGTGCGACACGGCGATCTCCCTCGCCTTGTCCTTGTCAAATTATATGTACCTATCTTCCTTCGAAGTTCGAGACCACGGCCCCGGCCTGTCGCGAAACAAATTTAACCTGCGATCTGGCGGCGATGCCTGTCGACGTCCCGACGGTCAAGGACACCGACCTGCTTTAATAATATGTGGTACCAAAATTTATCACACTTACTACGCGAAGGAAGTAAAGGTTTAAAGTGGACGTGGTGCACGGTGCATCGCTGCACTTAATAAGTCAGTTGCCATCCATTTGATGCAGCAGCTGGGGTTCGACTCCCCGCGTCCGCATATCATGATCATGAGGAGGCTCACTTCTTTTTCTCACAATTCACCTCAATTTTAACTGACTTACCACAAAAAGGAATTGGAGGTATAAGGCGGACGTGGTGCATGGTGCACCTCTCCTTTCATTGACTGAGAAAGAGAACAAGAATTGAAGGAGGTGTTGGGGTTCGACTCCCCGTGTCTGCATTGTAGCTGATCATTGACGTTTTTTTCTCTCTCACAGGTCAACTCAATTTTAACTGACTTACCACAAGAAGGAAGCAAAGGTGTAAAGCGGACGTGGTGTACGGGGCACCTCTCCTTTCATTTAGCGGGAACTGATCAGTGAAGGAGGTGTTGGGGTTCGACACCCCGCATCTGCATACTCTTGGTCGTCGATTTCTTTTATCTCTCACAGGTCAATGTATTTTATCTGCCTTACAAAATGAAGGAAGGAATAGGTAGGAAGCGGACGTGGTGCATGGTGCACCGCTGTATTGCATGAGACGGGGCAGAACTTTGAAGCAGCTGTTGGGGTTCGACTCCCCGTGTCCGCATACCGTATTATGATGAAGCTGACTTCTTTTTCTCGCAGTTCAACTCAAATTTTATCAATATTCCCACAAGACGGAGGATGAGAGGAAAGCGGACGTGATGCACGGTGCATCACTGCACTCAATAGCATAGAAAGCTGACACATTTGATGCAGTTGTTGGGGGTTCGACTCCCCGCGTCCGCATATGATGAGCAGGTTCACTTCTTTTTCTCACAATTCACCTCAATTTTAACTGACTTACCACAAAAAGGAATGAGAAGGGAAAGCGGATGTGGTGCATGGTGCACTGCTGTACTCAATATTGTAGAGCCACTGTTCCATTTGATGCGGCTGTTGGGGTTCGACTCCCCGCGTCTGCATTTGTAGTGAACTCAGTTTTTTTTCGCACTTCAACTCAAATTTTCTTACTTGTAAGATCTCCATTATAAAGTTAAGGCCATTATAAGGTTAAGGAAGAAGCGGACGTGGTGCATGGTGCACTCCTCTCCATCCATTCGAAAACAGTGTAATTGAAGGAGGTGTTGGGGTTCGACTCCCCGCGTCGGCATAGCACGACGTGCAATTTCTTTTGGGCACTTTGATATTTTTCTTTCTGACTTACAAGTAGGAAAGCTGGTTAAGAAAAGTGGGCGCGGTGCATGGTGTACCTCTCCTTTCATTTAGAGGTAACTGACCGACCAGTGAAGGAGATGATGGGGTTCGACTCACCGCGTCCGCATTCTCCCATTGCCTGCTGCTTTTTTTTTCTTGCCGCGGTTTGGATCAAATTCATCTCACTTACCACGTGAAGGAATCAGGAGAGAAGGTGGACGTGGTGCACGGCCCACCGCTGTATTCAATTTGTTAGATGGAATTTACATCTGATGCCAGCTGTTGGGGTTCGACTCCCCGCGTCCGCATATTTCCACCTCCACCTTTTTCTATCACAGTATTAGTTCTATGAATTTTTACCTGACTTATAACGAGAAAGAAATGAAGAGAAAAAGTGGACGTGGTGCATGGTGCACCGCTGTATTGCATGTGAAGTTTGGATTGTTGAAGCAGCTGTCGGGGTTCGACTCCTCGCGTCCACATAGTCTTGGAGGCTCAAACTTTCTTTCTCTCGCACATCCATGAATTTTATCTGACTTACTACGCAAAGGAAATAGAGGTGTAAAGCGGACGTGGTGCACGGTGCACCTCTCCTTTCACTGACATAAACTCGTTGGATTGAAGGAGGTCTTGGGGTTCGACTCCCCGCGTCTGCATTTCCGTTGCTGTAACGATTTTTTTTTCTCTCACAGTTCAACTCAAATTTTATCATATTCCCACAAGACGGAGGATGAGAGGAAAGCGGACGTGGTGCACGGTGCACCTCTCCTTTCATTGACATGAACTGATTACATTGAAGGAGGTGTCGGGGTTCGACTCCCACGTCCGCATTATGTCTATTATCTGCATTTTCTTTCTCTCTCGGTTCAACTCAAATTTTCTCGCTTGCAAGAAGGAGGAGGGAAGTGTAGGAAGTGGATGTGGTGCATGGTGCACCGTTGTACTCAATATCACCGATTCATATGGCATTGATGGAACTGCCATGGGGTTCGACTCCCCCGTCTGCGTGAAATGTCTCTAGCTTGTCAACTTTTTTCTTTCTCACAAACAAAATTTTGTCTGACTTACAACAAGAAGGAAGCAGAGATGTAATGTGGATGTGGTGCACTGTGTGCCTCTTCTTTCATTAAAAGTGAAACAACTTGAAGGAGATGTTGGGGTTTGACTCCCCATGTCTGCATTCTTGCTGAAGAGTTTTTTCCCCCAGTTTATCCGACTTAGTCGTACAAGGTGGAAGAAAAAAACCATGACAAAGTCAGTTCGAAGTGACTTTAGGGCCTTTTTTTCTACAGTTCAACCAATTTACCTAGCTTACAAAGATAACAACTTGGGAAATTAGAAGGAAAACATCCATGGAATCACACTTGAACGCTAAACAAATTCAGATTCTGCCAAATCATCAACCCAGAGGATGTGGGACGGTCTCATTTTTGCGCAGCTGTGATGGGTGAGTATCCACCAGTGGCACATCAACGAATTTCGAGTTGTTCCAGTTTCGGGTTGTAACCCGCAGCTGCAGCCCTGTCTCGCTAAGGGCGCGAAATTCAGCCATAGTGGCCGCGGGAGGGATGTACTTGCCAGGAAACAGCTCGAACGATTCGAGAGCAGCATGTTCCCTTCTCCACATCAGCATATCCAACAGTGGACGATAATAATTTATCTCCGATCTGTAGTATTTGTCGTGAACCTCCAGGCACTTGAGCCGCGGAAGGCCGACACCGTGGAGGGCCTGGATCGCGATCTCAGGTTTGATCTTGGTGAAGGGGGTGAAATGGAGCTTTAGATGGTGTATAGTGTTGGCTACGCAAAGGAAGCGCCGCAATTGCGTCGTGGTTCCGCTGTTGATGCCAAGTGAAAGAGACTGGAGGTCGTAGGAGCGTGACACCAATGATTGGAAGGTATGGGTCACAGCATCGATATCATCCGCTCCGGGTAATATTTCAAGTCGCTCCAGACGCGGAAGTATTAGAGGCAGGATGTCCCCGAAGTGGATTTTCAACGAGCGCAGAGAACGCAGCTCGAGATGCGGAGGTTCGGGATCACCTGTCCTGATATTGTTGCTTGTGGAGAGATCCAGGAGGTTCGGGCAGCATCGCAAGAAAGCGACGATCGTAGGCATGCCCGGACCTTTGAAATCAAGGGTGGTCAACCGTTCAAAAGGATTTCGGGGATCGGCCTGGAGACACGGGACATCAATCGCTTTCACTTCGCGAAGCAGTGGCGCATTAGGAATGATAACGGGGGCCGATGTCGATGTGTCGCCGCGAGACACGAAGGGAACATCCAGCATGAGTCGCTCAAGGCGCGGAAGGGTGGACGTGTTGAGCTGGCAGAGCACATACATTGGGAGACGAAGGCGGAGATCCTGCCACTGGGAACAATAGGATTTTATGATGTCCATGAGCATGCTCGCTCTCATTTCGTCCCTACAATCGAGGGAAAGGGTAAGGGGTTGATTCCGTGCACGCGAGAGCCACCGTTTCAGTAATTCTACGGATCTGCTGTCGCCGAAGGCAATAGATGTCCATAGTTCTGGTGTATCCAGACATATCTCCCGCCATTGGCGACAAATTCGAGCCAGAAGTAGAGGTGCTTGATGCCGTGAAGGCCGTTGGGGGTCGGAAGGAAGACAATGCCCAAATATTATGACTGTAATTTCTGGTGGAACTGAAAGGATGGACGAGTCGCAAGCAGCGGACATCATATAATGATATCTAGGCGTACAACATGCACTCGCACCACTCGTTTATAACACGGTGAAAGGCAGGGCCGGGAGATTTCAGATATTCAAGCGCTAGATTGTGGTCAGAGACTGCGCGCTCAAGAGAGACGAGGACCGGGAGGTTGACTACTGACTGATTGAACGAGGAAGGGGGAGAAGACAAGTAGAATTTGATGGGCTTGCTGTTTTGGGTGACGACGTCACGCACAGCTTCAGCAGCCACCAGTACACAACATGCGAAGCTACAGATATTTGTGTTTGCGGATCCGTGTTCGTACCCTACTCCCATGATGCATACGGGAAGTCGTGTCGCGCAGGTATGTACTCCGAGCCTGACTTCTGTTCTCATTTGAGGCTTCTTGAAGTTCTTTCCAGCATATAAGTACACCGTGTCACCGTGCAGCCTCCGAGCTACGGCAAGCCCAATTTTGACCACCAGGGCGCATAGGCATCTCCAGCGTCAGGGGAGTGGACAATATACATGGGTGGTCCACTCAGCTCTGCGTCCTCGCGCCACCTCACTTTGCTAGGGGACGTGATGTGAGGGAAGTGGTGCAAGCCATGCACGTTGCGCTACCGCGCCATGCGCGGGGAACACAAGTGCGCACGCTACCTCGTCCTCGTGGTCAAGATACACTATTCGTGGGCGTAACCCGAGCAGCACTGCGGCGCTGTGGTCGCGAATACGCGTGCGCACTGGAGTCCAGGGAAGAGCAGGAAGGAGTCGTGAAAAATGGGGAAAGAGAAAAAGGAAAAGGCATGTAATCACCCGATAATAATGCCAGGAGGGAAAAACTAATAACGAGAACAGGGACTAGATCATACTTGGTGTTGTAGCACCCATGGCCACAGAGGGAAATGGAAAGCTGCACCAACGCGTATGCCCACCCATATTACCTTGAAGGAGACGCTAAACCTTGAGCACGTGTCCTCCTCGCCCACCTCCGTGACCGTGAGCAAGGGCTAAGGCCTCAGCGCTGCGTTGAGGCGCCAGTCTACTCCGGACTGGGAACACGGCGAGCCCACCACACGCCGCATCGCCGAATTACGCACCACCAACGGCGAGTGCGCGGTCGGGACGCACTATTCGTGGGCGTGGCGTAGCCCGCCTCGAGCCGGAATGCGGCGCTGTGGTCGCGAATACCCGCGCATTGGAGTGCGGGGAAGAGCCCACCGGCGCAGTCGAAAACGACAAAGAAAGCAGAGATTCACGGGATAATTCAAAAAAATCCAAGCATAAAAAACACGCTGGTTTTTGAGTGAAGGAAACCTCCGTGGTTTGGGTTTGGGTTTGTGGGGAGAAGTCCACCTCCTGAAACGCATCTGCGTCCAGCATCAAGGCAGGGAGGGGGGTAGGATGGGCATAGAAACTTTGCCCGCCACCCCGCTCGCGCCCGCGCTCGTCCCCAGCCCCAGGAGAAGAAAAGACTCGGAAGAGAATGAAGGGAGACGCTGCATCTCGTCGCAAGCACACGAGCACACCAGCTCTGAAATGTACCACAGGCGCAGTCCAAAAACGCCAAAGAAAGAAAGACGAGACAAAGAAAGAAAGACAAGCTCGCGAGTTACGTCGTGCGCCTCCGCCGACCCTCGCAGAGCTTCGGTCTCGGTCTCTCCCTGCCCGACGTCCCCTTCCCCCTTCCGTTCTTCCCGTCCGACGTCCCCCTTCCTTTCCCTTCTTCCCCGCCCACGAAAGAAACAGTAAAGAAAAAAACCCACTCACGCGCTACTATCATCCGTACTCCCCGTGTTCCCACTGCTCATACTCCTCTCCCCCACACTCCCTCCCCCACCCGCACCCACCCTCACCCCCCGCGTCAACCCCATATTCAGCGATATACCCAGCCCGGGCCCGGGGCGGTGCGCGTTCTCGCCTACCCCGTCCCAAGCCCCGCCCCTCCGCCCGAGCGCGAGGCCGAGGACGTCGGAGACGGCGCGTGGGCGGGTGGTGCGCGTGCCGGCTTGTTCGTGCGCGCTTGTCCCACCAGAGCCAGAGCCAGAGCCGGAACCGGGGAAGGGAAACGAAGGGGAAGACGAGACCGCATACCCCGCCTCGAGCGGGAACGCCCTCTGGCTGTGATTGTGGTGATCCAGGTCGGAATGGTGGTCAAGCGGGTGCCCGCCGTACACCGCCGGCTCTTCTTCGTGCTCGTACCGGTGTTGCTCATACCCATGCTCATATCCGCGTTTGACACCCCGTTCGAGCGAGAAGGGCGGGAAGGGCGGATCGAAGCTGCCGCGGCGCGAGCTCGAGTCGGAGGCGTCTGTGTACGCGGAGGAGGGCGGGTAGTCGTAGCCCGGGGCAGGATGGCCGTATGAGGAAGACTGGGTGTCTAATGATAAAGGCAAAGGCAGGGACGCCGGTAGGGAGAACCTCTTCGCGGCGCCGGTGGGGAGGAGGTGTGCGTTGAGCGGGGCGTGGGCATGCGGGTTGGTGTACCCATTATGGTGGTGCGCATTCCCGTTCCCGTTACCGTTGATACTACTCGACGGAGGGGGAGGCAGACCGAGCCCCAGCGGGACGCAGCTCGAGAGCGGCTCGAGCTTCACGCCCATGCCCACGCCCATACCCGTAGTCGCGAGCGTCGTATTCCTACGCCTTTTCTTCGCATTTGCGTTGGCGTTGGCGTTCACGTTCACGGGCAGAGGATACGGCAGCGCCAGCGACGCAGGCGACGCCTGCCCCCTTGACGAGTGCGAGTGTGAGGAGGACGAGGCGGAGGACCCCGCGCGCGATTTGGTCTGCTTGTTGGGCCCGCGGACGCGCCCTGCTTGTACGTATTCGCAGGGCAGGCCGCGCGCGAGGCAGCGGGAGCAGGAGGGGTGTTCGCCTGAGCACTGCGGATCGAAAGGGGTGAGAAGTGAGACATGCGAAAAGAACAGAGGAAAAGAGAAAAGAGAAGGAGAGCGAAACAAACCTTCGCCTTCCTGCTCCTACACTTCTCGCACGCCTGTGCGGTGCGCAGCCTAGGATGCTCTGGGGTGCGGTAGAAGATGCCCGTCGCAGGATCGAGGCTGCCTCCGATGGTTATACGCGGTGCGAGTAAAGGGTCGTCGAAGGGGTGAGGGTCAAACGGCCAGCCTGTACTGGCGGGTGTGTATTCGTAGTCAAAGTCGGGGTACATCGAGTCCATTCTGTTCTGTGTGTTTTGTGTTTTGTTGCTGTGGGAGTAGCGAGACAAGTCAAAGTCTAAGAATTTGGTCTTTACTTGATGTCCTAATCGGGCGACCGAGGAGCCTAATTGGTTATTTGGCGCTTTTTGATCCGCGGATGGACATCACTCGGTGATCTACGCAGCGGCCGGTGCCTTTTTCCTCTTTCCTTTGAACTACCTTGGAAGCAGCGTCGAACGACCCAACGACGCCAATGAAAAAGCGACCCAAAGGCCAATCTCAGACCGGCGACCTAACGCGTAATCAACTCGCCGCGCCGTCCACTCTGAATCACCACCGAGCCGAGCAACGGCGCCTTCTGCCTTCTGTGCCTTCCCTTCCAACTTCACCTTTCCTGATTCAAACTTGCATTCAATTATTCCTTCTATGTGACTTGTTAAGTACACTCGCGCACCAGCGCGTCGACGAGCTTAAAATTGCAAATCTGGTGCAATCCGAATTCCAAGCTAACTTTCGTCGTTCGAAAGCCTGAGATAAAGCTTGGCTCGCGGGAGACCCCGGCGAAAGGGTAGGTCGCCGAACCGTACGTGGATCCTCCCCGTTCTCAGTACTAGAACTTAAAAATGAATTGATGATGAATAAATAGGTGACGGTGGTTGGCCGGTGGAGCGAATAGGTAAGCAAGTGAGACGGTGCCGATCGGTGCCCCAAATGTTCAGTTCATTCGAGTCTTATTAATTGAATTTAATTCAGGTGACGGCCCCTCGAACGTAAATACGACACGGCGATCTCCCTGGTCCGAGTTGTCAAAATCGACAGACGTATGTACCTACCTTCGGCCTTCCTGCGAAGTTCGAGACCCCCGGCTCCGGCCTGTCGTTGATCCAACTTGCAATTTAACCTGCTGTCGACGTCCCGACGTTCCAGGACATCGACCTGCTTTAATAATATGTGGTACCAAAATTGAACAAAATTCTATCACACTTACCACGCGAAGGAAGTAAAGGTTTAAAGCGGACGTGGTGCACGGTGCACTGCTGCACTCACTCAGTTGACCCTGTACAGGTTTGGGCAGCAATCCGGGGTTCGACTCCCCGCGTCCGCATACTTCCTTGCTTGTTGACTTTTTTTTATCTCTCATAGTTTATTAAATTTTATTTGCCTTACAAGATAGCGGAGGGAAGGGTGGGAAGCGGACGTAGTGCATGGTGCACCGTTGTACCCATTTGTCGCTGAGAAGATTTGAACACTTGCTAGGGTTCGACTCCCCGCGTCTGCATTATCATTACGGAGGTCTGCATTTTTTCTCGCACAGTTCAACTCAATTTTATCTTATTTACCGCGAGAAGAAATAAGAGCGAAAAGCGGACGTAGTGCACGGCGCACCGCTGCACTCAATCAGCCAACTGAGCAACATTTGATGCAGCTGTTGGGTTCGACTCCCCGCGTCTGCATTTGTAGTGAGTTTCATCAACTTTTTTCTCGCAGTTCAACTCAACTTTCTCGCACTTGCATGAGGAGCAAGAAAGAGTAGGAAGCGGACGTGGTGCATGGTGCACCTCTCTCCATTCATTGATTGTACAGGAGAACAAAAATTGAAGGAGGTGTTGGGGTTCGACTCCCCGCGTCCGCATTTGCGGTGAGTTCAGTTCTTTTGCACTTCAACTCAAACTTTTCTCACTTACAAGATCTCCTTTATAAGGGCAAGGAAGAAGTGGACGTGGTGCACGGCGCACCTCTCCTTTCATTTGCATAAATTGATGACATTGAAGGAGGTGCTGGGGTTCGACTCCCCGTGTCCGCATTATTCTGTTCCTGACAATACTTTTTTTTCTCGCAAATCAATAAATTCAATCTGACTTACTTCGAGAAGGAATGAGGCATAAAGCGACATAGTGCATGGTGCACCGCTGTATTGCATGAGAAGGTGCAGATCTTTGAAGCAGCTCTTGGGGTTCGATCGACTCCCTGCTTCCGCATACTTCGACCGTCGACCGTTTTTATCTCTAACAGTTCTATGAATTTTACCTGCCTTACAAGATAGAGGGAAGGGTGGGAGGTGGACGCGGTGCACGGTGCACCACTGTACTAAATGAGGCAGAGCGGTTGCATTTGATGCAGTTGTTGAGGTTCGACTCCCCGTGTCCGTATTATTATGTTCATCACAATACTTTTTTTTCTCACAATTCAATCTGACTTACTTCGAGAAGTAGAGGTATACATTTTCTTTCATCCTCCGTGGTGCACGGTGCACCTCTCTTTTCATTTAGTGGGAACTGACCAGTGAAGGAGGTCTCGGGGCTCAACTCCCCGCGTCCGTCTGCCTCGGGATTTTTGTAACCTTTTCTTCTCTCCCCCTTCAAGCAGAATCTTCTCACTTACCAGATAGAGGATGGATGAGAAGAAAGCGGACGTGATGCGCGGTGCACCGCTACATCCAATAGTGTCACAGTAGAGTCGTTGTCTCATTTGATGCAGCTGTTGGGGTTCGACTCCCCGCGTCCGCATAGCTCAATGATTGCATCACTTTTTTTCTCACAGTTCAATTTAATCTGACTTGCCACAAAAAGGAAGTAGAGGTATAAAGCGGACGTGATGCACGGTGCACCGCTGTACTCAATCAGCCAACCGAGCAGGAACATTTGATGCAGCTGTGGGGATTCGACTTCCCGCGTCCGCATAGTTTGATCATCTTTTTTTTCTCGCAAGGTTCTATGAATTTTATCTGCCTTACAAGATAGAGGAGGGAAGGGTAGGATGCGGATCTGGTGCACGGTGCACTGCTGTACTCAATGCTGTGGAGTCACTGTTCCATTTGATGCAGCTTCTGGGGTTCCACTCCCCACGTCCGCATATTCCATCATCTCCGCCTCTTTTTTTGCTTACAGTTCACTCAAATTTATCTGACTTATAAGATGGAGGATGGAAGGGTAGGAGGCAGATGTGTATGCCAAGGAAGGCGATGTACCACGGGCAAACTGCTCATGAGGCGGCGAGGAGTCACCCAAAGGTTGACGACAAGTGGCGTCTTTAGTATTATTTCAAACTGTGAGCGAGCATAAAGAAGGTATCACGGGCACACTGCTATGTATGGTAAATCACTCAAAGTTGGACAGCGGATTTCAACATGTCCGAGGTCCTCGATTCAGAGATGCTTTGTTCATGAGTAGGATATTAATTATAATGTGAGTGAACAATCGAGCAGACTTCTTTAGTATTTCTTGGACAATGAATTGAGCAAGAATGGTGTTAAGTAACTCTTGACTATCAGAAGAGAGTTTCACTGCATAGTTCGTAGCGAAGCACGGGCTGACTGCTAGTAATACTGATCGAGTGTCAGCCCAACGGTGGCAACTGCCACGTACAAGACAGCTTCAACAGCGTCAAGTTGACCCGTCAGCGCATTCTATTGCCAGACAACAACCGCAACACGTCGATTTCACCTATTTTTAGTGATTGCGCATAGCGCTAGCGTCGCCGAAGTACTTAACTGTAATTTGATATCATTCGCCGGTGCGGGATATTCAGCTATCTGTTCAAAGCTGGAGGTAGCTATAGACGCCGTCTGGACGAGGCTGGTGACGACAATGATTGAAGACACGCCGGTGGTTGATCCCCAGGCCGGAAAACATTCTGCATGGTTGCTTCTGCAGTGAAAATATCTTGTCCTGTGTTCGGCGAGATACGGGAGCAACAACAGATTGTCGGTGCCAAAGTCCAGACGTCTGGAATCATTAATATATTGATCAGGTCGGACCGCGCAACCCATCGAACTTGTACTGGGGCTCAGTGCTGTTGAATCTCGAAGATTGACGGATCTTAGGGTACATCCAAGTTCGTCAATGAATCGTCGTACATTCTCGAATTCAGGAAGATGGTACTGTTGAATCTCGAAGATTGACAGATCTCAGGTACACTCGTTACAGCTATTTGCGGAACTTAGGGCGCGGATCATTTTTTTTCTAAAAATTGATGTTTTCACTAATACCCCTCTACCGAGCTCAGTTTTCATCCGATTGCCTTGAAACCTGGACGTTCTCGAATTCATGGAGATGGATCCTATCGCGATGAATAGGACCGTGACGATGTTTTCTCAGCCCATAGTTGGCTCACGGTAAACCCGGTACCACTGGAGCAACGACGGAATCAGAAGGTCTCACGGAAGCTTCAAAAATAACTTCAAGCATGTGACAGGGGGGAATGTTTGCTGGGAAACCAATCATGACTTGTGTACTAGTCAGAAACAATTTACTTCCTTACCGAATGCTAGTCACTGAAAGTTCATCATTCTCGGAGTATGAGTTTGCTGATATCCTAGACATTGTCGCTGATGCTACGCTTGAGCGACCACAATGATCATTTGAGTGTAAAGCACAGCCAGGGAAACAATAATAGATAAGGAAATGATTTTGTTACATGAGATCTCAGAAAATTATCTTCGCCGGGACTGCAGTCAGAATACATTCGACCCTTGTTCATGTTTTGTTCCATTCTCGGTGTCTGCGGTTAAAGTTGGGTTGGGATTGTACGAAGGAATCGTGATCATAGCGTGGCTTGTTGAAAACAGCTCCTCCTTGACATGGTCACGGGAATTGAGACTAATGACAGAACCTCAATAAGTTCATAGGTGGAATTGTGGAATGACCGTACATGGACATGAAACTCAACCCATAGACTAAGAGAACGGTGTGAGTGGGCATACAAAAAAAGTTTTGAGAGACCTGCATCGAACGTTCATGAAGAAGATTCTGAAATTGTTCAATTATTGACATTCATGAATCACAACACGGAGCGTACGGAGCATATATCAAAGTCGAGGGTAAAGCAACCAACTGTATGTGGTGTAAATGACGGATGAAGTGTTGCAGGAAATGAGCCTACTATCGCAAGGTCGCAAATTGCGAACACGCTCGTCAATGCGCCACTGCTCAGTGAGTACGCGACGAGGAGATTTATTGCCTTGTTTGTCCTAGATTGGCGGACGATATCAGCATTATGCGGGAAAATATATATAGAAACGGCGCTACTTCTGGAAGCCTGTTTTGTGTCGCAACAAATGGTATATCCTGGCGCTGGAAATGAGAACATCACAGCCCACTCCGAACACAAAGGCGCTGGTGGAGTAGGGCTAGGAAAATCAACTCCATGTTCACATCGAGTGACGACGACGTACGAGGACAGCCTTTGTATCTTTGAAGAACTTGATCTGGAAACTTTGTATCGCTGTTGAGCCTCTAGTTTTTTTTGGCGTGCGGGATAACTCACGCTTGTTGCATATAAGCGATCCCAAAGGCTTCGTCTATGAGCAATTAATGAAAATTCAGAGGTAGGGGGCACACACCCAACTGGCCAAGCGAGCAGATTCCCTGTGGCCACATTAATTTGGGACACATTTATGTGTTTGAGACAACCCACGATCATCACTGGGAACACCAGAGATTTTTTGGAGAGGATGTAGATGCGGTAAGCATAGAAGAACTGCACCAGGGCGCTCAAAAGATCTAGCAGAAAGTTAAGACAGCACTTCACCCGCCGATACAGTCATACCTCCAACGACGACTTGAACCTTTATGCAGTACGGGTGCGTCGGATTTTTTTTTAAAATGCAGGGTCACGCATAGTGCTTACGAGGAGACTCCTGTGTAGTAGTTCACGAGCGGGTCCCTTCTATGAGCGGATATATTCACCACGGTGCCTGTCCTAATTCAACGTAGTCACCGAAATTGGTGACCGTTGTCGAATAGAATGAATGAGAAAGTAAGGCCAGATGCAAGGTGTCCAATGCCATGAGAAGTGCCACCTTGATTGAGTACGCCCGCTAAATGGGTGAATGGTAGTGCGACTGGGTCACTTACAAAGGTTTTCAAGAAAACTGGGTCGCGTGAGCAATGTTTCGTGAAGTAGAGATACACTTGAAGGCAAGTCACTCCGAACAACCTAAAGTAAAATTGACAGTCGATCCGGAGATTTGAACGACTGGCTTACACTGAAGACACGATGAGTCCGATGAGCCAGGCCCCAAGGGTATCGTCGAGGGGGATAAGGCTGGCTCGGGAAAGAACGATGCTGGACATGGGATCAAATGGCATTGCAGAGCTTCCAACA